CTAGCCCTACGGGTAATAATATTTTTTCTATGTAATAAAAATTCTTGTAAAATTTCTAGTATATTAGCTACTTTAGGAATATTATTCGAATCTATGACATTCATATTAAGCTGAATCCTATTTTCTAAAGAAGTTAGCTTGAATAACGATTCCATAATAATATTCGGATCACAATTCCGGTCTCTAGGCTCGATGATTAACCTTATATCTTCAGTAGATTCGTCGCTTATATTACTAATTAAAGGGATTTTTTTATCTTTGAAAAGCGCAGCAATTTGTTCAATCACTTTAGATTTTTGTACTTGATAAGGTATTTCAGTAATAACAATTTGATATAAACCATAACTCAACTCTTGTTTTTCCCAACGCGACCTTACTCTAAAGCTACCGCGCCCAGTAGAATATGCTTGTTGAATTACTTGATTATTATCAATAATTATGCCTCCCGTGGGAAAATCCGGTCCTTTAACAAACTGCAAAACATCGTTGATCTCTGCCCCCCTATGGTCTACTAAGTAGGTTAAGGCCTCACATAATTCATGTAAATTATGCGGAGGAATACTTGTAGCCATACCTACTGCTATCCCTTCTGAACCATTGGCTAATAAATTAGGAAACATCGCAGGCATAATGACTGGTTCAGTATCAGAATCGTCATAAGTAGCACGGAAATCGACTGTATCTTTATCTATATCTAACATTAAGAGAGTGCAAATCTCCGTCATTCTCGATTCAGTATAACGCATTGCCGCAGCATTGTCGCCATCGATTGAACCAAAATTTCCTTGCCCATCAATTAGCGGGTAACGTAGAGAAAAACTCTGAGCGAGGCGAACTAAAGTATCATACACTGCTACATCACCATGAGGATGATATTTACCAATTACATCCCCAACTACCCTTGCGCATTTCTTATAAGCCGCAGTAGGCTCTAACCTCAATTGCAACATAGCATATAGTAATCGACGATGGACAGGTTTTAACCCATCACGTACATCTGGTAATGACCGAGACATAATAGTAGAGAGAGCATAAGCAAGGTACCGCTCTGATAAGGCATTTCCAAAATCTATATGTTCAGTTTTTGCGTCTTTCGTTGTTGTCATTCTTATAAAAATCTGCTCTCAAGAAAAGTATTATATGCTTAGAATATGTAGTACAAATATTTAATAAAGGTAGCAGGTTTTCGATCAAAATTCTCTCTGTGCTATCGTAAATAGCAAGCTTATCAATTAACTTCACTTCTTGTAACACTACTACTACTAGCTAGGTTAAGTGATCAGAAAGGTCTTGTGAACTAGTTTTCAATAATTAAATTAATAGAAGAGTTACTTTCTTGTGGTGTGATTTGAATTAATTCACAAAGTGCTAAATAATCATAAGGCTCTTTGATAGAACTCACCACAATCATTTCCAAGCAGTGCTTTGGTGATCTAGGAGTTCGCAAAACTATCAACAGACAGCTATAATAGCCTTTAGGCTTAAATTATACATTTAAACCCTGAACCATAACCATTATCTACTCAACCGTAAAGTAAGCCGAGGAACATCATTTTAGCAGTTGATGTAACACCGCTGTTGAAACAAGGTTATGAAACCCCATTAGTACCTTTGCAGTTACTCTAGCGGTTATTTTAGACTTTCTTTAGTTAAAGTCAACGAGAATACAGACCTAGCCATAAAAAAGACTCAATGCCTTAAACAATAACCCCATTTTATTAGCTGCAATTAATCTGTCAACCTGACGCGAGATGATATTTACTTCATTATTAGTTAATCTATTTTGTAAGAGCTGACTGCGGAGCAAAATGCCATTACTAATTAAAAAATCACCTTGAGCTATAGTACCTAAAGCATTAATACCTATATCTTTAGCTATTGTTTTTAATTTATTAAAATCAACATGGGCTGATAAATCAGCCCGACCCAAATTTTCTAGGACCCCGCAATATTGATGGTTCATTATTGCTTGTAAGGTAGAATGATATTGATCAGAAGTTCTTAGAGCCGGCTTAACATCATAACCGTAATCAATAATAAGAGAGGCGCCGCCATAAAGCTTTATATGCTCGCTGATAAATTTGATAATATCCTGAGATTGGGTTGACTCTTCTACTATAGCGCTATCAACTGCATTGGGATAAGTTTTAAGCAAATTAGCCTGTAACCTTGGAGTAATTAAAAGCTTGTCAAATTTGAGTTGCTCGTACGTTGAATCAAGACATACTACTACCTCATACCATACCTCTTTACTTTTAATATACTGATTAATAGGTAAGCTATCAAAAAATTCATTGGCTATTATAATAGAAGGTATCTTCGCAATATCCTCTACTCTAGCCAGATGTTTTACAGCCTTGCGATTACTAAATTGTTTAAGAGCTACTTGTTGTTTCTCAGCAAAATGCGGGTTAATCTCAATTAATTCTACTTCTAAAGATTGATAAAATGCTGGTACTAATTTAGCCACATTCAGTAAATCTCTCATTAATGTCCCATGACCAGGACCAAGTTCTACGAGATTAGTTCTGCTAGGCCCCTTCATTTGGTACCACTTATCAATAACCCATAAAGCTAATGTTTCTCCAAAAAGTTGAGAAATTTCTGGCGCGGTAGTAAAATCTCCTTGCGCTCCTAATTGATCTTGTTTTTGATAGTAAGAACTAGGGGTTGCCGACATAGCGTATTGCATCATTTCTGCCACTGTAATATGCCCTTTCTG